TCCCTCCCACAGCAGCTGTCACACAAGCAGTTAAATAATCAGCTGCTGCATAATGTTACTTTTTATGTAAAGAAGCTGATTATTACTTGTTATCCCTGTGAACTAAATTGAATTTAAGCAACAACAATAACTAAAAAAAAACCCTAAAATTAATTCACGAGACAAGCCAGAAAAGTCCTGAGACTTGCAGCACTATGAGGTCAATTAAAAGCCTTTCAGCAATCATTGCAAAATTTTATTTGCTCGACTCACGGGGCAGAGCTCAGTGCCTGCCCCTCCCCTTCCCCTCCTCTGAGTTAATCCTGCTTTCTGCAGGAATTTCACGCTCCAGAATTTTTGCTCCCAGTCCCACACACCACACACACACACGCACGGGCAGAGCTGCGACCACACCTTTATTTGCAGAAGTCCCTCTCAGCCCTTTGTATACAATACAAACGTTTCCATACAACACAAATGTTTCTATACATCGTATATGCACCTGGAAAACAGGAAAAATCCCGGCTAAGTCCCCCATATGTATAACATATAAGGAAACTTATGTTTAAAAGCATGGGTTTAGACACCCCTTTGTATTCTTGAATACATTTTTAGCTGCATATTTTCATCATATGCTTCGGTGCTGTGGGATCCAAAGTGTCATTTCTGAGGGGTTATCTACAGGGGAGATACATTTGAAGTGGAAACCACTTCTGAATTATGTCACTCTCAAGCTTGCTGCCTCTTGAACTGAGGCATTTCAAACACACCAAAAGCTGCCCACGGCAACACTTCAGGTTCCTCCCAGATTTTCGAACTCACTGTCTTAAAAAAAAAAATAAAAAAAAAATCAGAATGCTTTTCCAAACACTCCAGGCTGCTGAACTTGTGGGAAAAATCAGAGAAGTAAAGTTACCACACACAGTGTGTAGAGGTTTTAATGGCAGGGATGGAAGGTTCTGGGTGGGGGTTCCACTCCCAGTGTGCTCGAGGGGATCAGAGTTTAGGGCAGAGCAGAGTTCAGGCAGTAAAATCTCTGCCCAAATCCTGCCCCAAAGGCCCAGATATTCAGCACTGGGTTAAAAATCAGCTCGTGCCTCTTCCCAGGAGCAGCCAGGGAATGGATGTCTTTTCTAAGCCATGTTTTTTGCAACAATCAGCCCTTCCAGCTCCCTGAACATTCCCTGCCATCCCAAGCCAGTGCCCAGGAATGCACGGAGCACTCCCAGCCCAGCCCGGGATGCTGAGGATGGGATGTGCCTGGGAGGGAGATCCACAAAATTCCAACGGGAACAGCTGCTCCCTGAGGCCAAAGGGGCACTGAGGAGCCCCAGAGGGACCCAATCAAACAGTCCCACAATCAAACAGCTCCACAATCAAAC